ACTTGTTAAATAACTCGCCTTCTAGATCTTGTTCTTTTGATGTAACCGACGGCAATAGACTAAACTAGCAAATATTAAAACACTTAGAAACACACAATAATTATACTGGTTCGGCAGAACTTTTGCCTACGTCCAGTTGTGATTTCTCTAGGTAGAGAAATCACCGCTCCTTTGATTAATAATAGAGATTACAGAACTTTTGCAACCCTAGAACTAATCTCAAAACTCTTGGCTATCTCTGGCTGTTTTTCCTCTCTTTAAAATAAGTCTTGCCACACCCTATTTATAGATATAGAGTTGGCTTACATGTCCTAAGGCTAATTGGATTCCTATTCATAAGTAGATTAGGAAATTACACTTATCCAAATCCTAATAGACTTCTAGAAATCCAAACCTGAATTGAATAAGGAAAACTGAAATTCTTTCATAATCCCTCTAGGACAAGAATTGGTATACCTCTAATTTTCCTAAAACAATCCTAAACCAACTAGGACATATTTGACGAGCCAAAATCCTAACAGCTATTTCGTCTGTTGATGATAGTTTACCAATTCTCCCACCATCGTGTTCAATCATTCGGATCCCCAAAGATACAAATCAACCTCCCGACATTTTATCTGCATTGTCTACTATGTTCTACGTTCAACTGCAAGTAAGCGAGGCATGTAATCGATGTTATGATAGAAAAGGCGAATGCCTCGTTGATTACAGGGGAAAATTTAAATGTTCCGTTGGAGAAAACGGTATATACATCGGAATAGATGTACATCAAATTAGATGCTTGCCACATTTACATGACCCTTCATTATTTATCCATTTCCTTTCTTCCAAGGATACAACTCTCAAAAAAAGGAAACTGTCTGTTGAAAATACTTTGTATTCGGTACAAACACACAAGTACATATTTAGAGCTTTTAAATGATGGTTATGCACTGTCTTGTTTTTTTAAATTCCAATTATATCTATGCCATTCAATTATATCTATATGCCGCCTCAATCTATAATGGAATGATTTGTTTTGGGATACGAGAATGCGAATATCACTCTCTTTAAAATTAAAGGACATTTTGGAAAAAGCAAAAGGAGAGAGAAAATTAATTAGTAGTACTTTTGTCTGTTTATCAAGCCCGTCGTTCTAAAAGACCGATCATTTTGCAGGACTTGGAAACTTGGTTGCTAAGGTCTCAATAGGTATTGTAATTGCTAATTCCCTTTCGTATGGTCACCGAAAGCTAAACTGATTGATATCATCTTTTCCCGTATCTTACACTTATCTCAACAAATTCATGTTAGTTTAAAACAGTTAAAAACATGAGGACAAAGAGATTCTTTCGATTTTTTGCGGGCCAAACTCTCTCTGAACTAAGTCAGGAATGCGAGAGTTAGTGCCGGCCCCGAGAGTGGGCAAGGAGGGCGATGGCCATGGGCCTTGCATTTATAGGGCCCCAAATTATATATTTTATATAGGTACTAAGTTGAAGAATATGATTTTAGAGGAGAATAATTTTGGTATTTAGAGGCCCCAAATCTGATTACAAGTGTTTATGAAGAGTCCAAATCAAAATTATGTAATATGTGAACATCAATTGCAATCAGTGAAAGAAAGCCAATAGGGACTAGAAATTCTTTTATTTATCCAAAAATTCTGGTAAGTGGATTATTTAGCTAGGAAATATGAAATAGTGCAAATTATTTGTATCCTCATTCTTGTTTATTTTCAAATTGGGGAAGCGATTATATGGCCAATACTGGAGCCGTGTTTATTTATTCAAATTGTATTTAATTGCATTTTTTTTTTCCATGATAGTTTATTATATTCAGGAGAATGAAAGAGAAATGAGCCGCATTTTCATTTCTAGCTTAGGGCCACCCAACAGTCAAGGCAGGCCTTGGTGATTGCTTAGTTAGGTTTAACCAAGATTTCTACAAGCCTTACTTTTATCCGATATTCGTAGATACGACAAAAGTGAGGCTTGCAGAAATGGGCCTCATTTTCATTTCTAGCCTAGGACCACCTAAAAGTCAGGGCCAGCCTAGAGTTTATATATTCCTACATGCACGGCATAAATTTTTCATTTCCCTCTTTGATCAGCTCCAACAGGTGCAGTTGCTGGTCTCATGGTTCTAGTGGTCATTCTTTACTGCTTAGGAATAAAGTTATCATCCTACAGATATATCTTCTTCTGGAAGAATCAAAGCCAAGATCGTCGAACTGTTGAGGCCTTTCTCATGAACTACGAGCCACTTCAAGTTAAAAGGTATTGCTATTTGGAGGTCCAGAAAGCGACCAACTCCTTCAAATAAAAAATAGGACAAGGGGGTTACGGTAGTGTGTACAAAGGCAAATCAAATGACGGCTGTCTTGAAGCGGTGAAGGTCTTGAACAAATCAAAAGGGAACGGAGAAGATTTTATGAATGAGGTGGCAACCATTAGTAGATGTTAGTATTTAGTAGGTGTGATGTGTGTTGCTTTGCTACCATTGTTGATTTATGTGGTGAAGGGGTTCAGGACAATAGACAATAGTTGCAACAAAGTAATTTTATTATATTGGAAGAGAATAGTACATGGCTTGGTGTAGGCTAATTGGCCTTCTAAGTATCTTATTTTGACTTATTTAGCCACCACACTTGGTTTAGATTAGGTTGGGCTATTTGGCCCTTACACTTAGATTAGTGAGCTTATTGGCTCCTCAACATAACTTTGTTTGGATAGCTCTTGGCTCCCTAATAGTTTGGGAGTTGGCTTCTTTACTCCCACATAGATTGGGAGTTGATTGGTTCACTCCACTTTGCTTGGGAAGGCTACAAGTCCTTTTATATGGATGAGAGTAGCCGACATAGGCATTCTCCACCGACTTAGTCTCTTTACTCCAGCGACAAGTGTGTAGCTTTCTCTAGATAATTCTCCAAGGTTCACATTGGTTTTGCCGACATGTAAGCTTCTCCAATAGTTTAGGCTCTTCCACCAAGTTAGTCATATTAATGATTCTTCTAAAACCTTTTGGATCTTTGTGTCACAAATGGGCATTAGTATTTTCAACAGTAGAACTTCCCATGTCAACATGGTAAGTTTGTTAGGCTTTTGTTTTGAGGATTTAGAAAGAGCTCTCATTTATGAATTCATGCTTAATGGATCTCTTGAGAAGTTCATATTTAATGTAAATACCCCGAACAAAAATCATCTCTTGGGATGGGAAGCAGTAGATCGAATTGCACTTGGCATTGCTCGAGGGTTGGAGTATTTACATCGCGGTTGCAACACAAGAATTCTACATTTTGACATCAAGCCTCATAACATTCTTCTTGATGAAAATTTAACACCAAAAATCTCTGATTTCGGCCTTGCTAAGATATGCAACATGACAGAGAGCATTGTGTCAATGGCGTGTGCAAGAGGCACTGCTGGTTACATTGCTCCAGAAGTATTCTGTAGGAATTTTAGAGGGGTCTCACACAAGTCAGATGTATTAGCTATGGGATGATGCTTTCGGAGATGGTTGGAGGAAGAAGGAACATCAATGCCGAAGCTGAAGATACAAGTGAAATGTATTTTCCACACTGGATTTACAAGCGTATTGAACTTGATGAAGAACTTGGTCTGCCGAGTATCGTGAATGAGGAAGACAAATTAAGAGCGAGGAAGATGATAATAGTGAGCTTGTGGTGCATACAAACAGACCCTTCAAACAGGCCAGCGATGAAACAAGTGATAGATATGTTGGAAGGCAGTGTTGATCGCTTGCAGATTCCACCCAAGCCTTACCTGTCTTCTCCACCAAAATCGACGGCAGATTCTTCTACTACGTTAGTATCAATACAGTAGAACTCTGTATTTTACTTGGACGCATGTATTCATACAAATTTTTTGTTGTTTCCTTTCTTTGAACAGTTGCTGCAGTTGCTGCCATTGTGGCTCTAGGGGCTGTTGTTTTCTGTTTATATTGGAATAATCAAAGAAAAAATCGTCAAATTGTTGAGGCCTTTCTAAGGAGCTATGAGGCACTTCAAGTTAGAAGATATCACTATTCGGATGTCAAGAAAATGACCAACTCCTTCAAAGAAAAATTAGGACAGGGGGGATATGGTAGCGTGTACAAAGGAAAATTAAACAACGGCTGTCTCGTAGCAGTGAAGGTCTTGAACAAATTAAAAGGGAACGGAGAAGAATTTATGAATGAGGTGGCAGCCACTAGTAGAACTTCCCATGTCAACATAGTAAGCTTGTTGGGATATTGTTTTGAGGGTTCAAAAAGAGCTCTCATCTATGAATTCATGCCTAATGGATCTCTTGAGAAGCTCATATTTGATGCAGATACCCCCAAGGGAGATCATGATCATCACTTGGGATGGGAAGCATTGGATGAAATTTCACTCGGCATTGCTCGAGGATTGGAGTATTTACATCGGGGTTGCAACACAAGAATTCTGCATTTTGACATCAAGCCTCATAACATTCTTCTTGATGAAAATTTCACACCAAAAATCTCTGATTTCGGCCTTGCTAAGATATGCAACAGGAAAGAGAGTATTGTGTCAATGTTGGGTGCCAGAGGCACTGCTGGTTACATTGCTCCAGAAGTATTCTGTAGGAATTTTGGAGGGGTCTCACACAAGTCAGATGTATATAGCTATGGGATGATGCTTTCGGAGATGGTTGGGGGGAGAAGGAACATCAATGCCGAAGCTGAAGATACAAGTGAAATATATTTTCCACACTGGATTTACAAGCGTATTGAACTTGATGAAGAACTTGGTCTGCCGAGTATCGTGAATGAGGAAGACAAATTAAGAGCGAGGAAGATGATAATAGTGAGCTTGTGGTGCATACAAACAGACCCTTCAAACAGGCCAGCGATGAAACAAGTGATAGATATGTTGGAAGGCAGTGTTGATTGCTTGCAGATTCCACCCAAGCCTTACCTGTCTTCTCCACCAAAATCGACGGCAGATTCTTCTACTACGTTAGTATCAATACAGTAGAACTCTGTATTTTACTTGGACGCATGTATGTTTTTTCAAGGGAATCTGAATAATGAACAATATTGCTGTCAACTGTATTACCTATATATATAATACAGAGTTCAGTAACATATGGTCTACTTGGTTTTTTATTTTATTTTTTATTTTTTTGTTAAATAAATGAATCTGGCATCCAAAACAGAGGGTCTGTATTGCAAATTCGCGTCCAAATCTTATCTTGATTCTTGACCAATGATCGGCAGTATAATTTATGCCTCCGTTTTGTTGGCAGGTAAAGTTTTGTTAAGAAATTTCCGTTGTATACTTTCTTAACATATTGTCCATTGTGGTGCTTAAATTCAACACTGTAATAAGTTGTCTCTAAAATGTTGGGGCAGGCAGCAAGCAGAGCGAAAGACTTGAATTAAGTAATATGAATAAAGCATATGACCGTATTGAGTGGGACTTTTTGCAGGCTATGATGTACAAGATGGGCTTTAACGATCAGTGGATTTCTCTTATTATGAGGTGTGTGAGTTCCGTTTCTTTTGCTGTGATGTTGAATGGAAAAGTTGGGTCTCAGTTTTGCCCTTCTAGGGGTCTCCGTAATGGTACTAATATGATCACTTACTAGTACTGCTGCTCTTTGGGTCAGCTTCAGGAAATTTATCTCCATAATCTTGTCTTATGCTGTCACACTTGTTCTTTGCTGATGATTCTATTTTCTTCCTTGCTACTACAAATCAGAATTGTGTTGTGATGGAGGAAATAGAACGTCCCCTGTGTTTTACTTGAACACTTGTATGTTCTGAATAATGAACAAGATTGCAGAGAACTGTATGATTATGAACTTTGCTAGGTGTGGATCAAACCTGCGCAGGTGTTTTGGAAAAACAAAAAAACAAAAGCGTGTTGGATGCAATAGTCTTTACCAAAATAAAAGAAAACAAAGAAACAGAAGTCTTGCATATCGAATTTCCAAGTCAACTGACGTGTTTAATTAAATGTTGAAGAATAGTATCCAAAAGCCTGGTTTTCATTTCAAATTCAAGAGTCTAACATGCGAGGCAGCCTTCTGAAACTCAAAAAGTTGTCAACTGTCAAAGCCAAAGACTTCGATTGGGGAATTGTCAAGTCAAAGCTATCCTCCTTCAAAAACAACTCACAACACTATTACTAATAATATTATTATTATAATTCTCTCTGCCATAATTTACAATATCCCAAATGAATCAAAACCTCTGCATCCTCATTGTGATGTTTCTCCTCCTAACAGAAGCCTCTTTTGCTCTGGACTTTTACTACCAAAACTGCAGTGTGTCCGTAAGTTGTGGCCGCCAAGACATTAGCTATCCATTCTACATCCAAGGCAAGCAAGCATCCTTCTGTGGCTACCCTGGCTTCCAGCTCTCTTGCCATGGAGATGGTGAAGATGCCTACCCACTTCTCCAATTGTCTGGTAACAATTACACCATCCACAACATCAATTACCAAAACAAGTCTCTTCTTGTCTCAAATTCTCTGCTTTCAGGCTACTTAAGCAGCACTGCCTGTGATGCTAATATTTCATCACTTCATAACTTAACCTTTCCCAGTGATCAGTACAAGTTGGCTTCAAATCAAGCTGACTTCTTTTTGCTCTACAATTGCAACTCTTCTGTGGTTGAGTCATTTCCAAAGTATAAAGTCGGTTGCTTTGATCAGGGAACTAACAAAACCAGAAGTAATACTTCAGTTCTGGCTCTGCCTCGGGATGAATATCCAAAATTTGGAAGTCACAAGTGTGGAGGAGAAGTGGTGGTGGCTCATGCTGGAAGAGGGGGTGAGAATGGTGAGGTGGGATTAATACAAGAGGTTTTGAGCAGAGGGTTTGAGCTGAATTGGTTTGCTAGTGACTGCAGCCGCTGCCAAAACAGTGGAGGGAGGTGTGGCTTCAATTACACAACCTACCATTTTCGGTGTCTCTGCCCACGGAGGACTCATTCTGTGCGCTGCCGGGATGATGAAGGTTAGTTTTTTACTTTTAATCTTCTATGTACATGAAATTATTATGAATAATTAGATACTTTCTGGCATGAGATAATTGTCCACTTGGGCATAGAATAGTCTAATTCCTACCGTACATTTGATTCAAGAAAAATGGCGGTTGTTTAAATAGAAAATAGTGAAGTGGGTGCTGCTGATACACGACATTGAATATCAAACGTTATGGATTCAAATCTTGAACCTCTAAACAAAAAAATTGCAAGTAAATAATCCAAGCCCTGATTGTCCATGAGCAGTGTGATTTTTGAACAAAGGGAGTAAATGGTCATCTTTGTTGCAGGAAATAACTTGAGAAGATTGAAGATAGGACTAGGTAAGATCCATATCTCTTCAATTAAATATCTAATTGATGTGGGAAAAGCTAGTTTATTGAATTTTACACCTCGCACGTATTCATACAAATTTTTTGTTGTTTCCTTTCTTTGAACAGTTGCTGCAGTTGCTGCAATTGTGGCTCTAGGGGCTGTTGTTTGCTGTTTATATTGGAATAATCAAAGAAAAAATCGTCAAATTTTTGAGGCCTTTCTAAGGAGCTATGAGGCACTTCAAGTTAGAAGATATCACTATTCGGATGTCAAGAAAATGACCAACTCCTTCAAAGAAAAATTAGGACAGGGGGGATATGGTAGCGTGTACAAAGGAAAATTAAACAACGGCTGTCTCGTAGCAGTGAAGGTCTTGAACAAATTAAAAGGGAACGGAGAAGAATTTATGAATGAGGTGGCAGCCACTAGTAGAACTTCCCATGTCAACATAGTAAGCTTGTTGGGATATTGTTTTGAGGGTTCAAAAAGAGCTCTCATCTATGAATTCATGCCTAATGGATCTCTTGAGAAGCTCATATTTGATGCAGATACCCCCAAGGGAGATCATGATCATCACTTGGGATGGGAAGCATTGGATGAAATTTCACTCGGCATTGCTCAAGGATTGGAGTATTTACATCGGGGTTGCAACACAAGAATTCTGCATTTTGACATCAAGCCTCATAACATTCTTCTTGATGAAAATTTCACACCAAAAATCTCTGATTTCGGCCTTGCTAAGATATGCAACAGGAAAGAGAGTATTGTGTCAATGTTGGGTGCCAGAGGCACTGCTGGTTACATTGCTCCAGAAGTATTTTGTAGGAATTTTGGGGGGGTCTCACACAAGTCGGATGTATATAGCTATGGAATGATGCTTTCGGTGATGGTTGGAGGAAGAAGGAACATCAACGCAGAAGCTGAAGATACAAGTGAAATCTATTTTCCGCACTGGATTTACAAGCGTCTGGAACTTGATGAAGAACTTGGTCTGCCGAGCATCATAAATGAAGAAGACAAGGAAAGAGCAAGGAAGTTGATAATAGTGAGCTTGTGGTGCATACAAACAGACCCTTCAAACAGGCCATCGATGAAAGAGGTGATAGATATGTTGGCAGGCAGTGTTGATTGCTTGCAAGTACCACCGAAGCCTTACTTGTCTTATCCACCAAAGTCCGCCGTAGGTTCTTCTACTGCTACATTGGTCTCAACACAATAGAACGTACCCTGCATTTTACTTGAACACATTTATGTTTCGGAATAATGGAACAAGTTTGCAGAGAACTGTATGATTATGAACTTTATCACCAGGTTTGGACTATAATGAATGCAAGGCTTTACCTGTTTATTATTATCATTTGGGTTGTATGAGGTTTTTGAACTATATGATAGAGCTGCTAATATGCTAAAGTCACTGGGTGTACATATAATGGGGCTGTGGCAAATGCTGCTCTTTGGATCAAAGTATGAGCCAGCTGAGTCAGCCTCAAGTCAAAGTTTACGGTCCAGTCACAAGCCCAATACATGCCTAGAATAGCCCAATCAAAATATTTTGAATGCATGGCTTTATTATTATTATTATTATTATCATCATTTATTCAAATCGAAAGATAGATACTATGCACAAAATGCCCTACATAACATTGAAGACTTGGACCCAAAAAAAACAAAAAACATTGAAGACAAAACACACTAGCAGTGTTTAATATCGCGCTCCCTTCAACCCCACCTCCAAATTAAAGACGTTAAATTTAAAGTCGTCTCCTAACTTAACTATGCATGCTCTCACTATTATTCTTTCTAATCATGGTTTAACCATCTATTTCTAGTATCAAATCTAACTTTAGACCAAACCATGTACAATGTGGCCCAAAGTAACAAATTAATAATCAATTAATGCTACTTTTGACAAACACGAGTTCGCACTTCGAGATGCGAAGAGTGAAGAAGGAAAAAGTGATAATAAGATGCTCGAAAGCGCACTCCCGGCTTATGATGAGTTTATGAAATTTCGGGTTTTCCAGCCATTGTGAAATTCACGTTAAGCAAGGAAATGACCGATTGATTTTATTCCAACGATGACGGGAAAAGCAAAAGATTGGCCTTCGGGAACCAGATGGTGGAGCTTCTGTCGTCCTTCAAGCAAACCTTTTTCATGCTTAATTACCAGATCGCCCTCCTATTTAATCTGGTTTGTAGATGTTTTGGTCAATCTATAAATTAAAAATAAATCAGGCATTGACTCATTTACGAAACATGTGAATGCTTGATCTGATGCGTGGTAGGGCACGCGCATCAGAAGACCGTCTGATTTACGGGACAAGTTTCACACTTTTGGCATGATTTCGGAGCGCCCAGTCCCCACGTGTACGCTCCTCGTCCATTCCGAAATACTAGCCTGCTGCCAGGCACAAATATCAGTTCATGCACCCTATCTTGCGATGGGCATCGTAACATATCCGACGAAACGACACAGGTCCCTAGCGTTCAGGGGTTTCATACCGTCGCATTGCCCACTCTAAACGCAGTGAAGGTCAAGGGTATTACTGTCATTTCAGTTAGAATCACCCCACAGTAAGACGAAAGTACAGGTTACATGCCTTTCAGTTTTATCCTCTCGACTCGACCAATCCATCTCAAAACCAAATCGGCATCCTTTTTTATTCCATAATACCCCTTTACTTTACCTGTAATTACACCAATGCCACACTAACAACCAACTTACAAGCTCAGGTCACTCCCCACTGACCCTTCACTACTTCTCTCTCACTCACTCTCTCTGCTCCCATTTGCAGAGAACAATGGCAGCCATAGCCACACTTTTAATATTCATGCACTTGTTTTTAACCGTTCTACATGCCTCATCAAACCCAGATTTCGAGCATTTACTAGCATTCAAATCATCCTCTGACGCATCCAACAAGCTAGCCACCTGGAACTCAAGCTCCGACCTGTGCACCTGGTTCGGCGTCTCCTGCACCCGAAACCGAGTCTCGCGACTGGTCCTCGAAAACCTGGACCTCCATGGCTCGTTGGAGCCCCTAACCGCGTTAACTCAGCTCCGAGTTCTCAGCCTCAAGCGGAACCGTCTCTCCGGCCCCATTCCAGACCTCTCAAACCTCACCGCTCTCAAG